GACACGTGAGGCTAAGGGCTGAGCCAGGCTCTGGCAATCATCCCAGAGAGGTCCCTCGGCCGCTTGGCTTTTCCTCCAGCACAAGGGATGAAATCCCAACCCTGCTATCGCACAACCCTGCGGAGCTGGGATTTCCCCCCGGAGCTCCTCACCTGCCCGATGAGCGTCTGCCCTTGGGTGGTGTTTAGGAACAAGCCCCGTCTCAAGCCTTCGTCAAAAGGCCAGTAGGAGCCATGAGGGCTGGTGCTGCTGATGCCGGGATCCTGGGGATGGAGCAGAGGGTTAGCGCCTTTCCCGGCAGACCGTGGCCCCTTCCCCCTGCCAGGCCGGTGTGATTCAGAGAAGATGACAACCCAGACGGGGTCAGGCAGAGCCCACACACGGCGGCTGTTTCCCCCAAGGGGAACAGAAACTTACTTCAACACTTCCAGGCATGTTTTCTAAAATGCCACTTCTGCAAGTCCCCAGGACCCGTTAGGGTGTTTTGGGGAGGGGGGGACAAATGTAAGAAATCTTGCACTTATGCAAGAAACGTCGGGTCACAGCAGGGCTTGGGCTACAACAGGGAGTGCAACGGGGAGGGAACCCGACCTTTCCCTCCCCAGGACCCCCTGGTCCCCACTGCCCCCAGCAAGCAGAACCCGCACCCCGCTTCCTCGCGGAGGGAAGAATGGAGATCATAGCCGGGTCATGAGATCCCAGCACTCGTGGGGATGCAGGGGCACCCGAGCCAAGCACCCACGAGTTAAACAGCCTGACCCACAGTTCCTCCATTCTTTCGCCCATGGGGGACAGGGGCACCCTTGTACCCCCGCAGCAGACAGGAGCACAGCACGAGAACCTGGCCCGTGTCTCTGCGGTCCCTGCATTACGGGGATTTCCAGTGGCAGTTTACAGCTGCCTGCCCAGCACTGGGGACCGACCTCGGATAAAAATCCCCGGGGCTGGGGATGATCAGCTGGGACCGCGAGCATCCCTTATGCCTCTGCCTTGCATCCCGGCTGTGCAACAAAGACAGCACAGGGGGAGAGGAAGGGGAGTACCAAGATCATAACGTAGCGCTGTCTGTGTTTGTGGAGGTCTTCCACCAGCGAGGGGAGGGAGGCAAAGTTCTGGGGATCGACGGTGAAGTCCCGGTACCCATCCATGTAATCGATGTCATTCCACTGTGCATCCTGCGGGACAGAGGCTCAGGGATGGGTTAGAGAGTCTGGACCCTCCCTCCATGGGTCTGGGGGGTTACCTGGGGGATCTGGTAGTTCCTCATGGCTCTCACGGTCTGCCAGGTCTCATTGCTGGATCCGTAGCCCCACCGGCAGAGGTGGAAGCCGAGCGCCCAGAGGGGCGGCATGGCCGGGAAACCTGCAGCGAAAGAGCAGGAGCAGGGATGGGGTGTCCCAAGACAACAGCAGCATCTCAAAAGGATGGGAGAGGAAAGGGAGAGGGGGGAAAGGAGGTAACCGCTGACCCCTGACATGCTGGGAGGGCTGGGGATGGGATGGCTGGGGACCACTGACCCCTCCCCAGCTGGGAGGGCTGGGGACGGTGGTGAAGCTGGGGTGAGACAGGGATGGGGGTGTGGGGAAGGTGCCCAGAGATGGCCACATTGGGGTGCAGGCACTTACCTATCACCTGCTGGTACTGCTGGATAACCATGTTGGGATCGGGCCCCAGGAAGATGTAAAAATCCAGCACCCCCCCGATAGTCCTCCAGGTCAGGCCCGGAGCGGGCTGCAGGGCCACCTCTTTGCCAGAGGGGGAAGAGAAAAAGACAGTCAGAATTGGGGAGCATCCCCCAGACCCCGACCGCCACGGCAGGGACCAGGCACACCACAGGCAACGCTCAGCCTCCAGCAGGGGAAGGGAGAAATCCCTGCCTTGCGCTCAGCAGATGCTAAACGAGCGTCTGGAGGCTTAAATCATCGCAGCCCAGGGAGATTGCTGGTTTACACGGGGAGAAAGCTCACCATATTAAAAATTTGCTCTTTAAGCCCAAAGCTGCGCTGTTCTCCCAGCTTCCACCTAAAGATGAAGCACATGCAGGGCTTTCCTTCATGTCCTCCCCCCAAATCCCCTCCTAAGCGAATTGAGAGCTACTTGTACGAGCAAGCGTGTGGAGCAAGGGCTTTCCTGGGAAGAGCTTTTCACATGAACGAGCCCTCAAACCTCAGCTCAGGTGGTTGCATCTCCCGTGAGCTCCTCCTCGGGAGCATTGCTGCAATAAAATCGAGCGCAGCTGGGGCT